ACCTCATGCTGCTCACACACACGCACCCCCCCGCCCCTCGACCAACCCCCCCACACTCCTTCTACGACGGCTATTTCTTCACCGTAAAACTTCCTAATAAATCGGCACTGGCATCACAGAGGGGTGAGTGGAGAAACACACATTCTTTGTACAACAGAAACATTAGAAAAGGACACAAAACGTACCGACGAGCACTAACTTTGGCTTGGTTTTCCCTCCTTGTTTGTTTTTATTTTATTTTTTTTAATTTTTATTTATTTCCTGCAGCCCAGGGATTTGAAGCATCCCCCGGCTTCTCTTTGGATGCTGAGTGTGTCTCCCGTTTCCCCAGCCCTGAGGAAATCCCTTTACTATGGCAATGGAAACCTGAGACCGTGGCAATGTTATCCTGAAGAAAAGCGATTTCCAGCTGGCAAGGTGCGGCCAGGTTGGCTTGTCAGACTGAATCGGGCAGTTTGTTTTGTTTTCGATCCGGCCGCTTTATCCCAGGGGCCCTTAGTTCGTGTTTGAGTCGCTCCAGAAAAAAAAAAAAATTAAAAAAATAAAAGGGACTGATGGAATCAACCTGCCGACAACCTACGTTTAAATTCGTCCAAAAGCATCCCTGCGGATGGCTTGGTCTGGCAGGAGCTGGTGGCCCAGCAGAGAGCTCGCAAGCCAGAATCGCCCGCTGCACGTGGGGTTGCATATTTGGGGCAGTTTCCTTGGATTTTAGCGATGGGAGAGGGTTGGGATGCAGACGTGGGACTTGCAGCCCTACCGAGGCCAAGTGTTTCTAACCAACAGGTTTGGCATGAGCAGCCAGTGGCCAAAGTTGTTCCTCCAAAAGGGATCTTTGCTCTTTCGTTGCGGGAAGCATCAGAATATCCCATCCTGGAGATCCGGATTCAGCCCATCCTGCTTTATCATCCAAAGCCCAGAGGGCAAAAATCCCAACAGCTTTTGAAGGACCTGGGCGCTCAAATCCTATTGACGCAGGCTCCAATCCTTTGGGAAGCGCCGAGCTCTCCCTCCCGGCGCCCGGCAGATCCGCTGGGAACAGCCAACCCTTCCATGTTCCCGAGTTGCCCATGGACCTGCCGCAGTGATTTCGGGAGCACGCGTATTTCCCTGCCTCCAAACTGAGTCTTTAAGGCCAGAAATGAAGTGGGACCGAAGGTTTGGACTGGAAAACGAAAGCTCGCCTTGCGGGCAGAAAGGCTGCGAGGAAGAGCAGAGGGGCCGGGGCGGGCACCGTCACCCCTCGTCACACGTAGAAACATCAAGCAGTTAGTAAAACGACACGGGATTATTTACAAGTCTTGCTTATCTCCTTAAAGAGGGGAGGAAAACCACCTTCTGCCTTCAGGAGAGAGTTTCTGGCAGAATCCGGAGGCGAAGGTTTGGGGGGGGGGGTTCCATAGGCACAGATGTACCTGGCACCGGTGCTGGGCACCAGCTCACCTTGTAGTCCTTCTTCTGCCAAAAAAGTTCACCACGCTCCAGGCGGGTCAGATGTCAAAGGGGACATCCCCCAGGACCGTGGTGGCAGTTGGCAGGGGGAAACAGGGCGCTCGCCCACCCGGCGGGTGCTCCCCAGCATCACCCAGGAGTGAGCTGGGTGCCGGGCAGGGAGCTGATATGCCGAGAAAATGCACTTATAGCTCTGGAGAGATGGAGGCGGTGAGTGATGTCCCCTCCCCGGGGCTGCGGTGGGGTCCCGGCGGAAGGAGGCGCTGGGGCCGCCCGAGGATGCTCCAGGGAGGCAGCGGGTGCACGGAGGGTGGGCAGCACCCACTGCGTGCGCAGACGGAGGGGAAGGGTCCGGGGGGGAGTGGGCAGGGGTGTTTCTGAGCCCCCCTTCACAGTGCTGGAGGAGAAGGAGCCCTTACAAAGCAGGGGTCAGGACCACCAGCCCCGGCCGGGTCTGCGGGCAAGCAGGGACAGTGCAATGGCAGCAGGGTGGCTTTGCTCCTGGGGCGGCGCGGCACGGGGACACCGGGGTTGGTGCCGGGGGGAAGGATGAGCGGAGCCCTTTCGTCGTGTCCTCGCTGCAGGCAGGCACTTTTTCAGCCCTTTAGACCTTCCGTGTCCTCCCACAGAGCTCCGGCACCGGGAAAGCGGTGGCACCCGGACACGCCGTCCCCAAAGTTCGGGTGGTCCCGGCCGCTCCTCACCGAGACCAAACGCCGTCAGCCCTGCGGAGCGCTCGCGGGGGCTGCACCCCCCGAATTTCACAGTGTAGGTTGGGCTGTTGGAAGCCAAGTCCTTTCCCTCAACCCATCCCCTCCCGTGGCACAGCCCGGCCGTGGGACCAGCCCCCTCCCCGCATCCCAGTAAAAGCAGCTCCATTTCTCTCCGGCGCCCATCCCAGCGCTGCCCCTTCGCCTACAGTTTGGGGGGAAACAGCTGGATTTCAGGGCGTTGGAGGGGAGCAGGAGACAGCGGCGGCGTGCGCCAAGGAGGATGGTTGGGAGGAAGAGGAGAAATGGAGCCCCAAGGAGGAAGGAGAAAGGGCTGGAAGGGGAGAGAGGGGAGGGCTGAGAGCACGGTGGTCATTCCTGCATCCGTCCGTCCGTCTGTCCAGCCTACTGGGGCTGCAGAGGATGCTCCGGCGGCAGATGGGCTTCGGGCATCGAGCGGGACCGAGCCCTGCACCCATCCCACTTACAGGCTGCCGGGGGAAGGTGGCGACGGGAGGGGGCGATACCGAAAACAGGAGCTCAGTGCATACAGGATTGTAAATTGAGGGGGCCCGGGGAGCCCCCGCTTCCTTCTCACCCTCCCCTCCAGGGCTCTTGGTGCCGGGGAGGGGAAAGAGGAGGGGGCAAAAGGGGAAGGGGACCCCGCGGGGCCACCCCGGGCCACCCTTCAGACGGGGGAGGTGGCGGTGGACTCGCTGTACAAGCTCTCGGCGATGTCCCCACGCTGGATCTTGCGCAGGGCGGCGAGCAGGGCATCGAGGGTGGCCGTCTCCTTGGAGGACCAGTCGGCCAGGAGAGCCCGGGCGGGCGATTCCTCCCGGGTGAAGGAGTCTATGAGGTCCTCTTTATAGCCCAGCTCCCCGGCCAGCTGCCTCCACGTCTCCTCCGCCGAACTGCCCAGCAGCTTCTCCACCTCCTCCTGCTTGCTGGGCGGCAGGTTGGCGTAGAGGTTCCCGTCTCCCTTGGGTGCTGGGATGGACGAAGCGGCGTTAAGCCCATCCCCGGGGTCCCCCTGCCCACCCCGCGGCACCCGCTTCGCCCTACCTGGCCCCTGGGTGCTCTGGCTGGGTGGCTGCTGGTCGTGAAGGCTCTGGCTGTCCACCGAGATGCCGCTGTCACTGTGCAGCTTCTCCCCCTCCGGCGAAGGCGTCTGGTTGACCGGGCGGTTGTTGGCCCCTTGCTTGTTCTGTTTGCAGTTGTTCCACCTGCAGGGAGAGGAGCGGGGAGGTGACGGCCGGCGGTGACATCCCCCAGGCTGGGGGGAGGTTTGTTGCTCTGTCCCCCTTTCCTTTGCCGGGGAGAAGCATTTCTCCCGCAGCCTCAATCTCTCCAGCACGGTGGGTGGATGGGTTTAAATCGGCGCTTCTAGCTGCCAAGTGGGTGCCGAGCTCCTGAGATTTATCTTAGAATCACGGAATAGGTTTAGGTTGAAAGAGACCTTAAAGACCATCTCGTTCTGACCCTCCTGCCCTGGGCAGGGACACCCCCCACCAGCCCAGGTTGCTCCAAGCCCCGTCCAACCTGGCCTTGAACACCTCCAGGGATGGGGCAGCCACAGCTTCTCGGGGCAACCTGCCCCAGGGGCTCAC